TTAATTAATTCTGAAAATGAAGAAAAAATCTTTGAAATAAAAATTTCTTTTTTCTTTGATTTATTTATTTTTTCGTTGACAAGAAAAGAATAAATTTTTTCATTGCCAAAAAAGAATGAATTTTTTTGTTGACAAAAAATATCTTCGTTAACAAAAAAAAAAAGAATTGTATTTTTTAATTTTACGGAGAAAATAAAGTAAAAATTTCAGGTATGTGTATGTGAGTGGTGTACATTTGAATGTTTATAAAAGTTGAAGAGAACTTGAAGAGAAAATGTAATTATTCGAGTCTTTCACGGTCGAGAAAGGGGGTAGATAAAACAAAAGAGCATTAGAGACGCTGAGAGCGAAACCTTGAGAATGTAGTATTACAGAATAATGCGAGTGACCTAGGATATTTATCGTGCAATACTTGCTACTTGCCGTTGGCAGGCGTTCAGAAAAGGTTGAATGTAATTACGTGCAATGACCTCTTAGCTCACAAGTAATTAGCTATTTCTTTAACATGCAAGCATATGTTTCCTATATTTATAATTATTTTTTTCTTTAACATAAATATGATAAGATTATTAACAGCATCAATATATCTATCAGAAAAATTTCATTTCCTTTTATTATAACTTCTCACTTTTCATTTTCATAAATCTCTCACGTTTCTGCTTTTGAATTTAATATTTTCCTCATTTTATTATTTTTTTTAATTACATTTTTTTTATTTATTATTTTTGAATTATATTTTCTTTCATTATTTTTCAATCATATTTTCTTTAATTACTTTTTAATCATACTTTCTTTAATTATTATTTTAATTAATATTTCAATTAATTATTATTATTAATTTTCAATTGAAGATTTTAATAAATTTTAATTTACTTTCTTTAATTATTTTTTAATTATTATTTCAATTAATTATTATTAATTTGCAATATTGTAGATTTTGATAATTTCAATTTTTAACAATAGCTTTTTAGTCTGAAGTTACAATAAATTATTATTATTAATAATACTTTTGTTTAGTTATTACAATTATTTTATTCACATTTAAAAACAATTTTGTTTTTAAAATTACTATTTTTTTATATTACAAATTTTCCTAAAGCATTAAACACTCAATTGAACGAATTTTTTTTTTAAATTTTCCAAAGAATTAAAATAGAAGAACGCACATCAAAGAAATTAACTTCGCTGAATTTTACAATATTTGTTGAAAAAAAGAAAAATACTTTTTACAAAGAAAATAAAAAAAAATTTTTTGTTACCAAATTTATTTCTTTAAATAATTAATCAAAATAATTAGTAAAAAATTTATACAAAGCTTATAAAAATATTTTTTTTAAATCGTCGACAATAAACGAAGTGAACTTTATCAAATAAAAATTATTTACCTACTTTGTTAGGAATTCAGTTTTTTGTAAATAAAAAAAAATATTTTCGAATATTTAAATTTTAAATTCAATGAAATTATCGAAACAATTCATTAAATTGTTAATTTATTAATTTTTAAATTCAATTAAACGTTCGAAACTTTCAAGACATTTATAACTAAATAATTATTTCCAAATTTGCAAAAAAAAAGATCGAAACAAATTTTCGATTCTAAAATTTGATAAATAACTTTATTTAAAAAATTAAATATATAATTGAATTAAAAACTCGTTTCGAAGGTCTTAAAATTAATTACTTTCTCTTTATTTCTAACAAAATAATTATACTTTTTTATTCAGATTTATTTTAAAGATAAATTTCAGATAATTTCCTAGCGATAAATAAACTTATTAACCCCCTTTAGAAAAATACTTCAAAACTTTTAAAATATATATAATTTTCATGAAATATTACTTATTTTCTTCGTAGAAAAAATTCCCTCCTTTCAACTACAAAAAAAATTGATTCTAATAATAATAATAATTCAGATCCAGTAGAATTTTCGATAAAAGTTTTAATTTTAAAAATATTTCCGCAAAAGCTTCAAAAGAACATGTAAAGAATTTTTAACTAATTTAATTGGTCGTTTTAATACTGAAATTAGAAAAAAAAATAAAAGTAGTCTTTCCGCACCCAGAAAAATATTTCACTTAAAGCCAACAAGACTTTTTATTTGTTTCAAATAAATACTTCGTTCAAATAAAAGTTTTATTTATTTCGAATAAAATTTTTATTTCGAAACTGTAGGATTAATTTCAAGAAATAAATAAATTTTTTAATATATATTTAACTCAAATAAATTATATTTGGCTTAAATAAAATTTTTCTCTAGGTGCAGAATTGGAAAAAAAATAAAATTCCGAAATTGCAATTACCGACAAAATATCGGTATTTAAAAAAAAAATATAACGGTACTATGTGTGGTCAATTAAAAGAAATAAAATGACATAATTTAAATTGGATTAGAATATTTTCCAATGCTGAAAAAGAATTTTTTTTTTTCTCTCTTTATTCTAAAAGGCAGTCAATTAGGGTGTTCTTTGAATTGCAATATCGACATACAGAAATCGGTCGTGAGTGCACGGCGAATTTACATGTACAATCTATTGAGGAAAGGTAGAAACTAATTGATGAAATACGATAAAGAAAATATATGAAACGAACCACAGAGTTCAAGTTAAACAGGGATTATACCGATGGTGAAACCGGTTCGTGATCTGTTGAGAAATTGCAAACGCCTGTTACAGAGACCGTGGGCGGGAAATACCGGTCACCATTCTATACATACACATATATATTTATATATATAGATAAATGCACACAAACACTCTTAAAATCCGTGAAGTAATTTTCGAAAAAATAATTTTCCTTTTTATGCTTAAACAGTGCCCTTGAAACTTTCAATAGTCATAAATAATGAAAACTTAAAATAGCCTTTCCTTCAAATAATTCATACGTTCTTAACGTAAAACCTTCTTAGAAACTTTCAAGCACTTAATTTAAAAAATGAAACTTAAAAAATTTAAAGACAGAAACTTGTAAAAAAAACTTGAAAAATGTTTTGATTCTAAACAAATTTTTTTTCAGTTTCTGTTTTTTAAAGGTTTTTTAAAAAGTTTTTTTTAAAGTTTCATTTATTAAAAGCAAAAACTTTCTTAACAAAAATAAAACTTCGAAAAAAAATTAGCCAACAAAACTTTTATATTTACAGAGATATTTTTTATTTGTGCTTAAAAATTCGAATAAAAAAATATATTCACTATTTTTAAAGGGATTAAATTCAATAATAAGAAAATTTGCAGTCAACAATTATGTTTTATTATGTAAAATAGGCTGAATGGAAAATAGAAAAGTACAGAAACTTGTTTCTAGTTAAAATAGTAAAATAAATTCTATTTACACTTTGCAACTGGTTAACACTTTTTAAACGTTAAATACTTTTATTTAGAATACAAACAAAGGAATCGTAAATACGATTTTATTTTTAACACATAAATTATTAAACTTTAAATAATTAATTAATATTTCACCTTATTAATTGAATTTTAATACAAAAAATTAAGTTTTCAATCAATTAATTAATTTTTAATTCAATTAATTGATTTTTGGTTTAATTAATAAATTTTTAATTCAAATAATTAATTTTTAATTCAGTTAATTCATTTTTGGTTCAATTAATAAATTTTTCAGTTCGAATAATTGAATTTTTATTTTAATTAAATCATTTTTAATTTAAATAATTGAATTTTAATTTAAATAATTGAATTTTAATTTAAACAATTGAATTCAAATTTAAATAATTGATTTTTGATCCAATTAATAGATTTTTATTTCAATTAATTAATTTTTAATTGAATTTATCCATTTCTAATTAAATTACTTAATAAAATTTTAATTTAATTAACTAATTTTTAATAATAAACTGAAAGAATAGACGTCGATGAAGTTTATAAAGTTTATGATCAACGATTAAAAAATTTTTTAATTTTTCTGAAAGAGAAATTTTTTTAAATTGCTTTTAAAAAATATTTTTTTAAGATTGCTTGTAAAAAAAATTGTAAAATATTTTTATAAAAAAATATTTATTCTATTCTTTCTGAAAAATAATAAAATTGCTTTCTATTAAATTCATCATTTGTTTTTATTTTTACAAAAAAAATGAAAAGTTCAAAAATTAAAACTTTGATTGAAAATGTTTCTTCTAGAAATTGTATTTAAAACAATTTTGTGAAATGTTTTTAATATTTTATCCAAAATAATGTGTTATTTTTATTGTAAAATAAAATACTTTCAAAATAAAATAGACTTTTTTATTTTTCATAGAGAAAATAATAAACTTTTTTTTCTTGGTGAAAAATAAAAAAATTTTTCTATAATTGTTTATTGTAAACTTCTCCGTTTATCTTTTTGTTAAAAATTAAGAAATTAATTAACTAAATAAAATTTTAATTAAATTTATAAAGTTTTAAATCTAAACAATAGACGCAGGCGAAGTTTAAAATGTTTATGATAAACAATTAAAAAAACAATATTTTTCAAAAAGAGAATAATAAACTTTTTTATTAAAAAATATTTCTGTTAGCAATTGTTTCTAAAGGTTTTTTGTAAAATAATTTTATACAAAAAAGTTTATAAAAACTTGTTTATAAATAATTTTTTTTGTTAAATGATTCATCATAAACTTCATAAATTTGACCAAAGTAAAAATAATTATTTTCTTTCAATTTAAAAATTGAAAATTAATTTAATAATTGAAAATTAATTTAGTAATTGAAAATTAATTTTAAAAATTTGAAACTAAAAATTTGAACTAAATTCGAATTAATAGAAAAAATTACTAATTTGAATTAGAGATTTTTTTTTTGATTTTGAATTAGTAAATTTTACTAATAAATAGTAATTCCAACCAATTTATTAGTAAAATTTAATAATTGAAAATTAACTGAAAAATCAAAAATTTCTACAAACATGAAAATTTAAGAATTTTAACACAGAAAACAAAAATTAAAAGTCAAAGAAAGTTAAACAAAGAGTAAATACAAAACAAAAATAAATGAATTACAATGCCGAAAAGAACGAAAGTGAAATCATCACATTATTAATGACTATTAGAAATATTATTTCCCGAAGCCTCATCCATAATTAACTGATGTATTTTATTTCGCAATCTCAATTTTTGCATTGAACTGAAATTTTGCACATGAGGAATGAGACTCATAAAGAAGAAATAATCATCAGATTCCGATGAGTTCTCATGCTCATTCTCCTTCATTACAACATCATGCGTTATTAACGGTGGTGGAATAATTTCATCGTTTGTTAAAATTTCATGAACAATTATTTCATTATCGTTGTCATTTAATTTTTGCTTCTTCTTCTTTCTTCCAGGACGACCTCTTTCAATAACTGGCGTTGATGTTGTCGGCAGAAAATCATTTGTATTAAAAACTTTAATTTCCTCATCAATTTCAACAATGGGCAATTCACTCTCAAATTTTTCATCGTCATTCGAGGAGTTTTCATAGACTTGTAATTTTACTTGCGGTTGAATTTCCAAAGGATCAACGAGAAATGAAGAGATCATTTGATCCTTGAGAAATAATAATGGATCATAAAAAGGCCAACTTGATTTAATCAATGTGTCCTCACTTTTCTTCAGTTCACGTCGAAAATGGTCTTTTAAACTTTTCCATCGTCGACGACAGCCATCTCCTGATGAAAATAGAATAAAATATAAAAGAATTCTTTTTTTTTATTGAAGAATTATATTTTGAGAGAGTACCACCAGTGACAATTTATCAACAACAACAAAAAAAAAGAAAATAAGAATTTTCGCATAATATTTTGGTAACTTTTTCTAGAGACTATCAATCAAGTAGCCAGGAAGTCTTTCTTTGTCACTGTAAACAAAGATAGATTTCAGTTCAAAAACTAGTTTTCCATTAATAAGACTTTATTGCACTAAAGTTATCTTATCGTTTCTATTCAACATTTCTTTCGTTTCGAAATTCCTTACTTTATCATATTTATTTTTTATCGAGTCTCTCATTTATAAAAAGTGAATAAATTGAGAGGCAGCAATCAAATAATTACAGTGAAGATTAAATTTTATTCCGTGCAGTGATTTTTTTGTATAACTAAAAACAAAAAAATTTAAATAAAAAATCATGTAGTTTTTATTATAATAAATAAATTAATGAATTTAAAAAAATAACCAATTACTATTTTTGTTTAAAAAGGAATAGAATATCCTAAACAGTCATTACAAAAAAAACATTTGTAGATGTAATTTGATAGTTAATGATAAAAAAAATTCAAGTAACTTTGAGAGGAAACTGCCTTCAGGTGTTCTGCAAACTTAATGTCCCTAAAGTTCTGAACTTTCAAGTGAGGAAAATTTCATTACTTTAGGCAAAAATTTAAATATTTAATGAATTTAAAGACATTAAGCATTCAAATGGATGAAATTTAACTATTTTTAACATTAAAATTTGAGAATTTAAAGGCTTTAAATTTGAATATTTAAAAAGCTTTAAAGGTTAAAGCTTAAAGGTTAAATCTGAAGACTTTAAATTTAAATACTTAAAAAATTTAAAAACATTAATTCTTAAAATGATGGAAATTTAAATTATTTTACATTAAAATTAAAAATCTTTTAAAATTCAAAGACATTAAGTGTACAAATCTATGAAATTTAACTATTTAACCCCGTGCAGAAATCGCCACTTTTGTTCCCGATTACCGCCCTGGCCCCGGTCGGGTTTTCATGATCTGGCCCCGACTTCGTGGCCCCGACCAGGACCAGGCCGGGTTTGCCCAAGGATCTACAAACAGCGCACAATGGGATTTTTTTTACAATTTACTGTTCAAAACTGTCTACAGCCTACAATTCTTAACCGGTTTCAGTATTCTTTATTTTAAATTAAAGGCAAATAAATTCTTAAGACATCCCTTAAGGTCAATTTTTTAGTTCTTAATTGTTTATAATTTTTATTTTCAATCAAAGTTAACAAATTAATACAATTTTTCAAAAAAGGAGGCTTATTTTCTTATTCCGTTGCTGCATATGATCTGAATCAGTTCAAATTAATACAATATGACCACCACACAATTAATAAAACAGAAAGTAATTTATATCAATTGTTATAAACAGTATTAATTAACAAATAGTTAACTTTGATTTCTTTCCACTAAAAAATGTTTTTTTTCACCTTTTCTTTTTAATTTAAGTTCATTTAAAGAATATTTGTCCTTTTTGATTATAAAATAACTTATTTAAATTGTTATAAACAATATTAATTAACAAATAGTTAACATTGATTCCTATTCCACTAAAAATTTTTTTTCACATTTTCTTTTTAATTTAAGTCTATTTAAAGAATATTTGTCCTTTTTGATTAAAAAATAACTTATTTAAATTGTTATAAACAATATATTAAATAATAAATAGTTATGTAACTTACGTTCCTGTCCACCAAAAAAATTTTTTTCACATCTACTTTTTAATTTAAGTTCATTTTAAAAATATGTGTCCTTTTTGTTTAAAAAATAACTTATTTAAATGGTTACAAATAATATTAATTAACAAATAGTTAATTTTTGTTCCTTTCCACCAAAAATTTTTTTTTCACGTTTACTTTTTTATTTGGATAATGTTAAAAGACCACGGATATATAATATTAAATATTTAAATAAGTTATATTATAAGAAAAAAGACATATTAATATTTTTTATTGGAGAGGAATCAAAGTTAACTATTTGTTAATTAATGTTGTTTATGACAATTGAAATATATTACTTTATAGGTTTTTAATTGTCTGCTGGTAATATTGGATTAATTTGAACTGATTTAGAGCATGTGCAGTAACGGAATAAGAAAATAAACGTCCGTTTTTAAAAAATTGTGTTAATTTGTTAACTTTGATTGAAATTTGAAAATAAAAATTATAAACAATTAAAAACTCAAAAATTGGCCTCGAGGGATGTCTTAGGAATTTATTCTCCTTTAATTTAAAACAATAGGACAAACGCACCAATTATTTTTCACACTTAAATTGAAATTCCATGTTTAAGGCAAAAAAATAAATTATTATTAATTAATAATTTTTAGTATTATTGTGAATTATTAATAATAAAAATTTTTTTATTATTTTAAAAAATAGTTAAATTATAAATAATAGAGAATAAATAATTAAATTAATAATTTTTACCATATTATTATGATAAACATATTAATTTATATATATATATATAACATACATTTTTAATAATTTTTCTATAAATAAATATGATACAGTCAATTTATTATGATAATACTGTATATAACGGTCCCATGATTCAAAAGGAAGTTTAAGCGAGGTCGCTTCCAAGCTTGCGTGGCTTTGCGGTATGTGTATTTGACTTGCGTCCTCGAGGTCTAGGGTTCGATCCCCCGTGCGTGCGATATTTTTCCGTCTTAGTTTTAAGTGTTTTGTGTATAATTCTTAATAATGTTACATAAAGTATAGGTTTAAATAATTATTAACAATAATAATAATAAATTAGGCATTAATTTAAATAAGATAGTCTGTCTAAATTAATGAAAGAAAATAAGAAAAATATTTTTTTTAAAAACTTAGTTCAATAAAAGCAATTCTAATAATTATTTACATTTTTAATGACATTCATAAAAGTTTATTTACTACAAAAATAATAATAATTATTAATATTGAAGTAAATACTCCCCATGCTTTAATAATCAAATAACGAGCTTTAATATAATAAAATGCAGTCAGTATTGGATTTCTACCTGGGTAGCGAAAAGATCGGGGGAAATCCCATGGCCCCGACCGGGTCCCGACAGGGCGGACAGATCGGGCAAAGTGCCATGGCCCCGGTCGGTTTTAGTGTTTCAACCAGACCGGGGCCAGGTCGGGTTGCCAGATCGGGGCCCGGTTTGTCCCGATCTGGCCCCGATCTGGCCCCGGTCAAAATTTCTGCACGGGACATTAAAATTTAGAAATTTAAAGACATTAAATTTGAATATTTAGAAAAATTTAAAGAATTAAATGTTTAAACAAGAAAATTTATTTAGTTTACAATAAAATTTAAAGATTTGAAAAATTTTGAAATTCTAGTGAATGAATTTGAAGTATTGTACATTAAAATTTTAGGATATGAAGACTTGAAAATTAAGTTTTAAGATTTTAAATATTTTAACGATTTACACACTAAATGAAACTTTTAAATGAAGATAATTGAATTATTTTACACTAAAATTTAAAGATTTAAACACTTTAAATTAAAATATTTTAAAGATATCAAAAGACCATAAGTGTTTAAATGAACGAAAATAAATAATTTTACATTAAAACATTCAAGTTTTAAAGAATTTTACTTAAAATTTTAAGATTTCATAGAACTATAAAGACATCACAGAGTTATCTTGAAAATATCAAATTAATACCAAAGTGGATCAAATTGATGACAAAAATAGGGATCAACTTTTAATTTGATCCACATTTTTGGTATCATATCGTTGCAATTTGATACTTTTAAATAAACAGTGCGCATTAAACGTTCAAATGGTCAACATTTAAGTATTTTACTCTAAATTTTAATGACATATAGACTTTAAATTTAAATTTTTTTAAAAATTTAGAGACTTTAAGGGTTCAAGTAAAGGAAATTTAATTACTTTACATAAAGAATTAGAAACATTAGGTGTACAAATGGATGAAATTTAAACTATTTCTCATTTAAATTTAAAAATTTGACGACTTTCAATTTAAAAATTTCTAAGATTTAAAGATTAAAGATTAAAGATTAAAGATTTTACATTAATTCTTCAAGATTTATGGATAAATTTCGTATTTTATACAAAAAACAAATTAAATTAAAAAATTTGTTTTGGTGGAACAAAGAATCATATTTTCAACATTTTAAACATAATGCAATATTTAATTTTCTAAAATGTTTGCAGTTTCCATACAAGCTTATTTTTAATAAATTTAATAAAAATAAGCTTGTATGTATTACAAAAATAAAAAATTATAATAAAGAATAAAATTAATGATATTATTTAAAAAAAAACAGGCAGTAAGAAGTTAGCCTCGCGCTTTAGCGCGCTAATTGTTGCTAGTATCCCAGTAAGAAGAGGTTGATTAAAATAGATTAAAATATATACAAATATCGCTAAATTCTGAATCATTTCAATGCCAAACTTGTGTCATTTTTGAACTCCCATGTTTTAATTCCTTTAAAGATAATTCATCTGCACACATTTATATTCTATTTAATTCGGTATACATTTTACTTCTTATTGGGTAATTAGAATTGAAAACAATTTTATTCTGTTTAATACCATAAAATTTGTAATCATTAGAATTCCATTTATGACTTAAATATTGCTGACACTTTAATTCGTTTTAATGAAAAGGTAATAAAATGCATTAAAATGACTGCATATATGGTCAAAATTCAATATGCTTTTAATGCCAAACCAATGTCATTTTTGAAATTTTGTGTAAACATTTTAATCTATTTTAATCAACCTCTTCTTACCGGGATAATAATAAAACAATAAAAACATCTTCTATTCCTTGAATTTTATATCAACAAGCGTTTAAATTTTAAAGAAAATGAAAAAAATCACGTTGCCTGCAATGATAACGAAAGATACGAAAAAGAAATAGCGAGAAACGTGCGGCTCATTAGCGAGCAAGTATATATATATATATATATATATATATATTTTTCACGTTGGTATATAGGTATTTGTTCGGTGGTGTGGTACTCTCTCACCTAGCCTAACTTGAAAAGACTGCAGCGCGCTTACGTGTACTTCCAATAAAGTCGGCCACCTCGTCCCAATGTTGATCGCGTATAGTACGATTATGATGATGTTTGTGATTCCGTTGCCAGAGCGCTCGCCTCTCAAATACCTCTTGAATCAGTAGATTACAATCCATTTTCTCAGGTGCGCGTCTCTGCAATGGCATCTTCCTTCCCTTCTATCTCCCTCCTATTCCCAGTCACTCCACGTGTTTGTTATACACTCGGTTAATCGCAAAGCTGTCCTTCGAATTTCAAAACTCGCGAGACAGTTTTCAAGAATAGCGTTTTGAATCCCCAACACAGCAAAAGTGTAACAGAGAGATTCGATCGCCTCGCGTACTAATTGCGCACTAACGCGTCGCGTCGTTTCGAAGACCAGCTGCCTCTCGTTTGCTTCGACCGCTCGTCGCGAGGCGTTTCATGTCGCTAGCGCCGACTATAGAAGCAACGGTGGGAGCGTTGTCTGGCCGTAGGGCAAGCGTGTAGTAACGCGTTGCGCGCAATAAATGCCGCGCATCCATTCCCTTTATTCTTCTTCTTCTCTTCTTTCGTAGGCCTATTCTTTCGTGACCAACAGAGGTAGGTTTTCTAAAAGTTTCTCCTCTTCTTTTTTTCCATGACTACAATCAAGAGAAGAGAGTCTCTTTCTCTCTGGACAACAACTCTCCAATAACATGGATATGCGACGGAATTGAAAATGTGTATAGTAATAAGCGAACTAAAGCGTTGGGAACGCTTCGTGTGCCTCGAGGCCGCTATATGCTGCGTCAACGTCAACGTCTCCACAACCTATTGCAACATGGAATCCCTGGTGCGCTCTGTTGCACTTTCACGGTCTGCCGGCACGCAAACTTGAACATCGTCCCCCAAGCTGAATTCGACTTTTATTTCCTGTTTTTTTTTATTTTTCAGGAAACGGATATAAAATTATTTCTATAAATACTTGATGTGAAATACGACTAGAGGCGCGAGAGACGCGCACGACCTTCATTCGCCTTATCATCATAAGGCCATCATCATTGTCATCAAAGGTTCTCCAAGGCCGTTGGGAGACTTGTTTAGTCTCCTCATTAAATGTTGCGAGAGTATATGATCCCTCGACTATACTCTTCGCCGAGAGAGAAAATCGAGTAGTCGATTTTCTCTCTTGGCGAAGAGTAGTCGAGGGATCATTTATACTCTCGGCGAAGAGTCGAGAATGAAGAATACAAGACGAAGAAAAATGAGAATACAAGAAGAAAAAAAATACAAGAAGAAGAAGAATACAAGAAGAAGAATAATCAGAATACAATTTGATTCAGAGTTGATTATTGAAGTGGATTTAAATTGTTTCGAGCTTCTCTTATCTTTCATTGGTGCTTTCCTATTTTTTGTTCTTGACAATTAGATCCCTGCTGTTAATATATAGTTAATATCGACGCTGAGCGTTGGAAATAATTTTGGTCCCTGAAGTTAGCGTCGAAAACTGTTATTTAAGGTTTATAGAAGTAAAAATGTCCTTCATTCACCTACACTGGGGAAATTTTTGTAAGTCAGCAGAATTTAGTCCTGGCGAGCAGTGGATTACATGAGGCAATCCGTATGCAGGAGCAGCAGCAGATTCTAAAGTAGAGGATCCACTGCTCGCCAGGACTAAAGCCTGCAGTCTCACAAACATTTCCTCAGTGTAAAGAGTTGGAAAATTCTTCAAGAAACTTGACAGTAAAAAGAAAGTCTTATTTTAAGGCAGGAAAGCATTCTTAAATTATAAGATGCAACATTTTTAAGACAGTCAATGCAATTTAATTTTTATTGTGTTCCTTAAACCTAAAACCAAGGTTTTGATTTAAATCAACTAGATTTACACAGTAAAAAGTAAATCTTAATTTAAGATCATAGTCTTAACACAGTAAAAAGTAAATCTTAATTTAAAATCGTAGTCTTAACATAGTAAAAAGAAAGTCTTATTTTAAGTCAGGAAACGGGTATAAATTAAGACCCAAATTTCTAAGGGAGTCAATGATGAATTTAAGCAATGGATTTTGTATGATTTAACATTAGATCAAACAGTGTTGAATTTAACACTGATCTTAAATTAAGATTTACTTTTTACTGTGAAATTCAACACTGTCTGCTATAATGTTAAATCATACAAAATCCATTGCGTAAATTCAGCATTTCCTGTCTTAGAAATTTTGCATCTTAATTTAAAACTGCCATGCTGTCTTAAAATAAGACTTTCCTTTTTACTCTATAAATATTCTATAAATATTATGCGATTAAAATCACACTGTAAAAAAAATAAGTCATCTTGTTTTAAACCTAATTTTGGCTAAAACAACTTAGGTTACTCTAAATCTTAACTAAATTTCTCAAAAGGGAACTGATTTTAAGACCTAAAATTACCTTACTTTAATTTTAAGCCCAAAAATGAGTTGAATTTAAGAAAAAAAGACTTTTGAGCAGTAAGTACTTTAAGACTCTGTTTTTACAGTGCAGGATTTAAATCGAAAACATGTTTTCATTTCGATCATGATTTAAAACAATTTTTTACTTAAAAATAAATTTTTTAATCAATTTTAACATTGTGAAGAGTTTGACAAAAAGTAAAGAATCGGAACAAAAGATGAAACTATAAAGTTACCAACGTTCAGGTCGACAAAATGAAATAAGAAAAGCATAAAATTATCACTAACTAATTGTCTTTCCTGACCCAATTGAATTGAAAATCCGTTTAGGATGTAATGAAATAATAATTAAGTTCTTTTTATCTAAAATTATATGCTTCTTGATCTTAAAAAGACATTTTCACTTTATGCGTTAACGAAAACATTAGTAACTTCACAGTTTCGTAAGAAAAGTTAGTCCAATGTCTTATTCGTATTTTTTACGAAAAAGATAAATTAATAAATTTTAAATTCAATTTAGTGGAAGCATGAAGAATTAAATTTTCAACAATTAAAAGTTGCATTTGAATAAAAATAACAATTTTCTATTAATAAGCAACGATTTAAGTATAACCGAGCCTAATATTTTACAAATATTTCTTATTGACAAAACATTAGAATTTTTATTCAAATGCAACTTTTAATTGTTTAAATAGTTGGAAATTAAATTCTTTTATCCTTCTACTAATACTTTTGTTTAAAGTTTTAAATTCAAAAATAAGAAACTGATAAGAAAATCAATATCATATTACGAAAATTATTACAAACCATTTTTTAAATAATTGAATTCTGTTTGGAAATTTTATGAAAATAGTAGATATTGAAAATCATTGAATTACGAAAAGTTTTTAAAGATAATTAAATTTTACAAAGAATTCTATTAAAAAATTTGTCAATAATTGAATGTGTGTAGGAAATTTTATTAAATTTTTTTTGAAAATAATTGAATTCCTATAAGAAACATTTTATTATTTATGAAAATAATTGAATTCTTGAGAACGATTTATTATAATTTTTTAAAATAATGAAATTTCCAAGAAGAAATTTATTACGTTTAAAAATAATTTAATTATTGTGATGAATATTGTTATTTATGAAAATAATTGATTTTTGAAAAAAATTTTATTAAAATACTTTAAAATAATTGAATTTTCGGAAGTAATTTTCATATTTATCGACATAATTGAATTTTTTCGACAAATTATTTGTGTAAATAATTGAATTCTTAGAAAAAAATTTAATTCAAATTAAAAAAATAATTGAACTATTTCAAATAAGTTTAATTAAAATTGTATTTAAAACAATTAATTTCTTTCGAATAAAAATAATTGATTTTTTCGAGGAATTGAAATTAAGTTTTTAAGAATAATTAAATTTTTTGAGCAATTTCTGTAAAATTGCATTAAAAATAATTGAAATCCTGCTATGAATTTTATTATTTATGAAAATAAATGAATAGTTGCTAGGAATTTTATTATAATTCTCAAAAATAATTGAATTACAAAGAAAAATTTTATTATTTTTGAAAATAATTGAATTATTGCGGAAAAGTTTATTAATATCTTTCAAAAGAATTGAATTTCTGTGATAAATTTTATTATTTTTGAAAGTAATTGAATTCTTCATAAGAATTTTATAAACATTGTTTTAAATAATTAATTTTTTCGAAATATAATAAATATTATGAAAATCTTATTAGTTTTATTAATTGAATTCTTGTGGAAAATTTTATTTGTGAAAATAACTACATTTTTCGATTATTAATTTAAAATAGTAATAAAAATAATTGTAATTCTTCAATGAGTTTTATTATTTATGAAAATAATTAAATTCATGCTTAGAATTTAATCAAAAATTTTTTTTTAAATTAAATTTTCATGAATATCAACATCGTTTTTTTACATTTTTCTCATTTTCGCTCTTATATTTTCATCTCTAAAGTCCAAATCCCATTTCGATATATAATTTGAAAGAAAAACAAAAAAAAAAGTTGGAAATTTTTTTCAGAACGGCAAGAAAAGTTTTTTTTACACAAAAAAGAATACCAGTTGTAAAAGATGTTTTCTTGAGGAAAAAATGAACACATAACTGTTCAGGAAGGAAAAAACCTATATATATGAAAAAAAAGGTTTAAAGCATCAATCAGACTGAAAAAAAACTCGTTAACAGATTTCTTTCTCTTCCACTCTTCTGTTATTATTATTTTTTTTCCCTGTTTTTTTGTTGGTATTAAAATTATTTCTTTTTTCAATCCAGTTAATTTCATAACTCCATGTGCGTATATAATAATTTTATATCGACTATCCGCGCACCGTTACAAAATCGAGTACAAAATATTCTCTACTTTATATATACGAATCGAACCACAACGACTATATTTACGTATAGTTTATAATACACGGAGAAAATTGTTCGTCCTTTTTTTTTAATTACTCGTTTTCAATTTCCTTGTTTACGTAATGAACTTTTATCAACTCTATTACTGATTATAACAATTTAATTTATTCACATTAGTAAATTAATTACTAAAATGTATTGTTCTTTTTCATTAAAGTATTTTATTCGTTTTTTAACATTAATCGTTTAATCAATGTAATTAGTTAATTAATTCTATTAAATTAGTTGTGTTTGTAATTATTATATAGTATTTAAATTAGATTTATTAAATTTATTACTCTTTATTTATTAATTACTATTTATTATTCTTTATTTATTAATTACTATTTATTACTCTTTATTTATTAATTACTATTTATTATTCTTTATATAATTACTATTTATTATTCTTTATTTATTAATTACTATTTATTATTCATTATTCGCTATTTACTCTCTATTTACAAAAAATATTTGTTTACCCATTTTTTATTCGCTTGAAAAGTTTTTTATAAAAATTTCTCGATCAGTTATTTTAGAAAAACAAAACTGTAATGAAG